AGCTGGGGGGGGGATATGGATAATGGAAATATGGATACCTCTGCATCTGCACGTTGTTACATCTGGAAAATAGCTTCCAATACTTAGACCATTACTGGCATTTTCACAGTGTCCATTGTTGAAGCCAGCTACAATAGTTTCTACTTCCCTGCTGGAAACACATCTAGTTTAAGGGTTGCTCTCAGCAAAAAATAGCATCCAAGAGGGAAATTTTGAGTTGTTGAGAAAACTCTTTGAGGTCCTCTGGTCTAACTCAAAGGGCTTTTAAGTTGTTGTCTGTTGTTGAAGAGAAAGCTTAAACCAGACATAATTTCATTTATTTCTGTTGCCACATAATGCAAGGCTTTAGGGATGTGTATGTTTTTAAGGAGTGAGGAAAGTGTTTCTCATTTTGGTTAGGCCTCCCAGTTCCTGGTCAGTTGCTCTTGTTGTGCATTCTGTTTAACATGGCCTTCTCAGAACTGACTCGGTGGTCTGTGTTCTTCTCACTCTCCCTCTCAACATGATGAGAGATAATGGTCTCAACTGCAACAGGGGAGGTTCACGTTGGGTGTTAGGAAACATTTCTTCTCAGAAAGAGTGGTGATGCAGTGGCACAGGCTGCCCAGGGAGGTGGTGCAGTCACCGTCCCTGGAGGTGTTCAGGAACAGTGTGGATGTGGCACTGAGGGACATGGTCAGTGGGCATGGTGGGAATGGGTTGAGTTGGACAGGATGATCTTAGAGGTCTTTTCCAACCTTTATGATTCTATGATTCTATGAACATAGAAGAGGTCTTTGAGCAGGAAGGCAGTGAAGCTGCTCTGCTTGATTCATCAAGAGTTGAGAGTGAGAGCACCCATTCTGTCACAGACTCTCACCACCAATGGCCTACACCAAATCAGGTGAAGTCCTGAAAAGAAGGGAAGAGAAGGTCTCCCTCCACTGGCATTCTTAGCCTATATTTTTTCATAGGAGAAGTTTGAAAGCCTACTAAACCAAGTTCTTCCTTCCTGCAGACTTCCATCCTTCATAGGATCCACCATCAGGTGGATCTGTCTGACAGCTAGATTTCAGATAACTTATTCATCTGTCCTGATCTGCTCTTACAGCATCAGAGGCAGAGAAACTGTCCAGACCTGATGTCCCCATGTCTCCAGAGAACAGAAAGATGGTTATGCGCAAGTGGCCATCCTGACTGCTTCTATCATCTGTTTGTTGGCCATGTAATTGCAAATGCATCTGAGCCACTGCTTTTTTAGACGCAGACACTGTCATTTTTCTCATGAATTTTGCAATTGCTGGCTTTGTGCCCATGTTTGCATACTTCTCTTTCTCCTGAAGTGCACGTAAGCCAAATATACAGGGATACAATCAAACACTGCTGTCTTTTGCCCTTTTGCATGGTGATGATGTTTTCAGAATGAAATGCAGTATGCTCCTATAACAAAAAATAAAATTAAAAAAATCAAAGATGCCAGAACTTCAGTAACAAGCTCCCAGTATACTTAGTGACTCTGGGGGCTGATTAATTAAAAAGTGTTTTTTTTTCTTTGCCAGCACCAGCTGAGGAAGTAAAACCTTTGAATGGTGAAGGATTAATTCCATAGCCATTTTTACCTCTCCTGAGGTCACTGAGTCTCTGCACTCCAGTTTTGCAGTCTTTCAGTGTACGCAGCTGATGTCAACACTGTTTTGGATAGCAACGGTTCCTATGGTTTTCAGTAGGGCAGGCTGAACTCAGAAACATCCTATTTTTAAACAGGATTTAGGAATGAAGGCGTAGGGAGGGAAAAGGAGTCACTCAAGGTTTGATTCCCTATATGGAAGATGGTGAGATTCTGGCTCCAGTGCGGGTCTATCAGATGACTTCACAAAATGTCCACTGTGGCCTTAACATCTTGTACATGCCTTTGCTTCCCAGCATTCTTCTGCATTAATGTTTGGGTCCATTGACATGGACTGGGTTGGATTCTAGTTTCCCTGGCCTGCATGCATATCTAACTGCAAGAGCAGATGCAGAGAAGAGGTGCTGGTTCTTAGAACTTTGTAGAACTGATCTTTCCCATTCAGGCTACCCTCTGGTAGCCTTGAGCAGGCATGCAAACTTCCCTCTTCTCTGCTTCCTATTTCTTTATCATTCTGTTGGCATTCTGCCACCAAAGCCATTCCCACAAAAGACTGTGTTGCCTGTTTCCCTTTCCTTACGCCTTAATCTGCTTACATCTTTCATCCCAAAAACCTCTGATGTTCCCTGGGCTAGCTCAAAGGGCTTGCATGCTATCCTCAGTGGGTAGCCAGTTTGCCACCTCTTTTCACTGCTGTGTGTAGGAGCATTGGCCATCCCTTTGCTGTAAGATGTGTGTTGCCAGGAGTTAGGAGGGCTGCCACTGTCCCTGACTTCTCTTCAGGGCCTGCAGGTTCTGTTAGAGTTATCTCAGAGGAAGGACTTTGTGTTGCAAGCTCATGCAATGGAGAAAGAAGATGGGCTGTCTTCTCTCTAGTTTTCAGTGGGCAGTATTGGTGGTAGCTGGATGGTTGGACAAGATGATCTTAGAGGTCTTTTCCAACCTTTATGATTCTGATTCCTCCTGGGAGAAACCAAATAAAAGAGGGATTCACAAGCAGGAGGACAGATATCCTATGAATTCTCATCTGCGTCTAGCGTAAGGGTTAATAGCAGAGGAAAGGCTCTTGTGACAGATGGAGAAAATATGACTGCTCTAAACAGAGAAAATATTTAGAGCCACTAAGCAGTAATAACCCTGCCCTGCTTAGCAATGAGCAGGCTCACAGCCCAGCAGAGAGCCTTTCCAGACAAATCTCACTGAGACTTTAAGGTCTCCAGGGCCTGGGTCCAACTCTGAAATCTAGTTTGGGAGTCTCTGCCAGTGCTGTGAGTCAAGAAAGACTCTGACCTTGGTGCAGTTCCTATAGACTTTTTTCTTCTTTTTTTTTCTTTTCGGTACCAAGCCTTCTTTTCAGTTAAAAGCCTCCCTCAAGAGCAAACACAAGATCTCAGTCAAGTGTTTGGGTTTCACGTCTTGGGACTGGGCTACATTGTGGAGCTGAAGGAAGAAACTACCCAGTACCCCTTGATTGAGAGCTATATTGCAGCTCAAAGCCAGCTCCTTGGAGACAGAATATTAAGGCTGCCCTGAGAGCTGGGGTGCAGGTGTCTGTCTGCAGAGTCCAGACATTTGGGGAAATAGCTGCATTACAAAATGTCACAGCAGTGATTGTCCATTCACGGTCATCCAAGGAAGGTGTTCTTAACATACCATAGAAGCAATTTTGACAGAACATTATGCCTGTCTTTAGGGGTGTTTCCCATAGGCCTTCTGACTGGAGTTGCATGTGCTTTACTAAATTAATTTCGAAGGAATGGGGCTCAGCCACAAGGTTATTTTGCAGTCTTATGACAGTAGATCTGACTGGGAGCTGTTGTCTGGCTTCTGATCAGGGCATAATACAGTTGTTTTTTTTTCCACCGTTCCTCCAGGGAATGTGCTGGCAGTGTTGTTTGCTCTATGGATGAGAAATGTGCATCCTGCCTCACATCCTCCTACATGGAGCAAATAATGCTGGGAACCCACCTGGCAGATAGGCTTTCACTGGAGGTTACCTCTTGGAAAAGAAAGAGGATGGCTTCAAGAGCAATCTCCAGGGACATCAGCCTCCATGAGGCCCAGTAGGCTCAGCAGGCAGATGCATTTGGTCCTGAAGGCAGCCTGGCTTCATTTAACTGTGCCATGCTCTGCCCTTTAACTGTATGCCAAGCATTTCCACGAGGAGATGAAACTTGAGCGGCATCTTCCTCCCATTCCTGGTCGCACTGAAACCTGGGAAGGCTTTTTTGGCAAATACAATAACATAATTTCATTTCCTAGTAACATAGTGAAAATGAGAGCTGCTTTTGCTGCTGTAGGAGCCAGTTGTGGTTTACAGAAGAGAAAATACTGTTGGGAAGAAACAAGCTTGTCTCTGCATGGTGCTGGCAGGAAAGGGAGACACTCAGGCTCCAAGGGATGAACAGTTTGTGCTGGGTATGGTCTCACTGGGGGTCAGTGAGGTGTTGGAGTGCAGGCTGGATCCCTTACAAAGGGGGCTGTGGTCTGTGTGTGCAAATGAGTGCTGTACAAAGCGGGGAAGTTAGACCACACATCTCAGCAGCAAGTGAGCCCATGCAACAACATTCCACAAACCTGGCATGAAATTATAACCCAAGTTACCTTGCAAAAATTGGGAAGACATTCAGAAAGAAAGAAAAAAAGAGAAAAAAAAAAAGCAAGGGAAAATGTTGAGGTACAGCAGAATATTCAGGGAACGAGGCATCTAAACTGGCAGTTCTGAGGATGGAGGGACTTCCATGGCACTGCAGATCATGGGCAGGCATCTTGCCATTGTAACACCTTGCGTTCCCCAGGGCCATGATTCACACAGAGATGAGCACAAGCTTGCAGCTTGCTTTTGCTGGCCTTGGAGCCTCCATGCACTCCTGTGCCACTCTCATCACTGCAAGGTGAGAGCTGCCATTGAGGTGTTTGGGGTAGCAATTGCCCAGAGAGAGCTAAAGGCTCCTCTAGCCTGTGTCTGGGTACGGCAGCTCAGCTGAGTGAGGATTAATGACAATGCCATCATGGCATCCTCTGCAGTGACAGGAGTGGGCGCAGGGCAGAGAGAATATCATTGGTTAGAAATACTCCTGGAGGTCCAGAAATGTTTCCCAAGAACAACACAAAGAACCACGATATTCAGTGTGAAGCTGTATTGCAGGTCTGCAGCAGGGAGGGTTTCACGTGTCTCCCACTAAGGCCCATTCAATTGCACACACCACTGGCCTCACCAGGAGGCCCTGTGACACAGCCCTGGTGTGGTCCGTAGATTATATCTCACCTGTTATTAATAGCCCCATCTTCTCATCTCTCCACAGTACTCACAAACAGTTTTTTTTTCCTTCTTCTTCAAGCCAGTGATCAGGCAAGAAGCCAGGCTATTGAGCAGCACGCTTGTCACGTGTCTCACGTCACAGCACAGCTCAGCCTGCAGGAACATCTGCTTACCTGTGAGACCTCACAGGAATAACCAGAGGTATGGATCAGTCCCTGAGAGAAGTGGGGGGGGGACATCATGGGCTCCTCTACTTGCAGTGGGCTTCCAGAGGGCAAGTAAGCAGGGAAGAGGAGGCTGGGAAGGCAATGGGGCACCTATCAAAGTGCAGTCGCCTTTCAGAGGGATTGCCAGGGGAGAGTAGGGCAAGTGAGAGATGAGAGCCTTTGAGAGTGGCTGGGGAGTTGCAGAATTGTTTGAGTTGGAAGGGACCCTTAAAGGTCATCTGGTCCAAATCCCCTGCAATGAACAGAGATACCTACTGCTACATCAGGTTGACCAGAGTTTCCATCCGTCTGGGAGATGACTTGTTTTTCTCAACCTCACAGATGCATCCCTGTCTTAGTCTACTTTCAGCATCTAGTTTCTTTTCTGGTACATGCTTTCTCAGTGCCAGACTGCACCAAAAGAACAGAAAACACTTGCACATCCCCTTTCTGCCTCCATCTGGTTTGCTCCCTTCCAAAAGACAGGTAGCAGTGATCATCATTTCCCTGCTCATCTTTTCATGGAAGGGCAAAAATCTCTGTGCTATGCATGCCGATTTAAATAAGGGTCAGAAGGGGGGTGGGTGGAATCTAGGTCAGATGAAGGCCTTGAAAGCAGGTATATTTCCAGCCTCCCAATGACAAGGCGTTGGGTGGAATGCTGTTAATAATTCACAGCATGTGCATTAAATAGTGATATCAGGTTACATTACAAAGTCAGGTGCTGCTGGCTCTCCATTGCTGAACGAATGGACTTTGACTCCTGTGCAAACTGTTCAGTGCCTCATCAAATGCCAAGGGCCAGAAATGGCTGTGGCTTCTTCCTTTCAGACAGATTTGCTGAAAACTCACAGCTGTCTGGAGAGAGAGGCCTTGTCTATAACCCAGGCTGGCTGGAAATGTTCTTTTCGTGCTTGGGCACTTTAGTGCTTGAATTTTTTGCTAGCATTGCCAGGCACGGTTTATTACAGGCTCCTGTAGATAGCTTGTAACACCCATAGAGGAGATAGGATTTGTGGATTAAATATCAACTACATATAAACGAATTTCAGTGGGAGACCAGATTTGTGCTGTATGGTTCAGAAAACTTCCTGCTCTACGTGCATATGAAGATCTCGTGCTCAAATTTTTGGCTGCTAATCAGTGTGAGTGGGGTCAGAACCTGTGCTAGGCTCTGAAGTTCAAGCTTGTCATTTCTTTTTCACCCCTTATAATCAAGTTTCTCAGCTCCAGTCAGGTCACCTTCTGCCAATGATAGCTTTTGGCTGCATCTTCAGATACTGTGGTTTGCACATGCACAGCTGATAGGTAATTAGAAAATCACCTCGAATAAAACACCTGCTCCTTCTGCTAGATTTGCTTTTTTGGTTTAGAGGAGCCACTGACTTCAGAAGATTTGGCTGGGATCTCATACAGGCAAGTCATATATCATGGAACCATAGAATGGCTTAGTTTGGGGGGGGACCTTAAATCCCATCCAATTCCAACCCTGTGCTGTGGGCTGGTTGTCCTCACCAGCTCAGGCTGCCCAGGGCCCCATCCAGCCTGGCCTTGAGCCCCTTCAGGGATGGGGCACCCACAGCTGCTTTGGGCAGCCTCTTGCCAGGGCCTCACCACTATGTAAGTGCAGGCACTTTCACAAAGTCATTTATCATTGCAAAGCTTTAACTTTACACTTCTTTAACTTAAAGCAGCAGAACTTTAAGCAACGAAAAAGCAATCTAGCATTAGGGAAGGGAAAGGGAAGAGGATACTGTGGATTAAAGGTGAATTTGCCTCTCAAACTTCACATTACTTTGAAGTCCAAACAGCAAAGGTAGCATGCATGTAAACATTGCAGAAAATAGTATGATCAAGTTGCACTGTGTGGGTTAGAGTTTGTATCACTGCCTGACATTGCTGGAAAGAGGAAGGTACTCAATATATCTAGTTCAGTTACACATCAGCATGGGATCAGTGAGTCTGATGAGAGTGCAGGGAGTTGAAAAACAGCTCATCACCAAAATCTGGTGTCTGGAGTGAAATTCTGATCTCAAAGAAAATCCCACTCAAAAATATGCGTTAACCTCAGTGGGTTTGGTCTCATTTTCAAAACCAGAGGCACAAACGTCCTTCCTCAGATACTCTCCTGCAGCACATGGGCCAACCAGGCTTCAGTGGTTGTGTTTGCCTTTGGCTCAATTCCCAATGTGCTGACATCTTGTCCCAGCTGTTACGTGAGCAGTAGAAGGGGCAGGAGGGCTCTGTGGGTGTAGCAAAGAAAAGTGAGCACATTGCAGCCTAGAAGGCCTGTGCCCACCACCTTGCCTCCAACATGCTGGAGGCCAAATGCACGGAAGCCCCTGGGTGCTCCTTGCCACATGTGCTGCTTACAGGTGAACACTGGGCGTTTGTGCTGTGGGTCTTTCTGCTGACTCTTCCACTCCTGTTTTCTTACTATTGATGCTGAGGTTGTTTTCCAGCACTGCAAGCAAGAAGTAATAATTTCCACATAGGATGCCATGACAGAAGTACATGCTTAACACTCGGGAAGTGCTCCAAGCTGGCTGATCAGAATAGGCTAAGAAAGAGATTCCAAGAAAATCAGTCATCAGCAGAGGAAGATGCCCACAAAAGTACTTCTTGGCATCTTAACTAAAGCAGAAAGGGCTGCCTGACAGGTTAGCAATGCAGCCCTAAGAGAACTACAGCCTGGCCAAGCCCACAGCCCAGGAGACCAAGGGCAGTCCAACAGTGGAGCTTTTTTCACTCTGCGATGTGGGCCACTCTGTATGTGCAGCACCAAGCTGGGGAGAGCTCTGCAAACTACAATGGGATACGTAACAGAAACTGCCCCAAAACTGCTGAATAGGGAAATGTCATCCCAACCATTCAGAAAAAAAAAGAAAAAAAGAAAAAAAGAATGCAAAGAGACATTGGAAGCACTTTCGAAGTAGCACAGTCCCTGAGTCAGCCAGTCCAGAAAGGTCTTTGAGATCTAATTATAGTCTTCAATCAATGCTGCTCTTATCCATGCTGCTAATGAACATATATGAGGCAAGCAGTTCTGCAGCTCCAGGGTTTCTCGCAGTGGCAATAACAGCTTAGTAATAACTAGCAATCTTTCTTGATGAGGTCTCGCTTTGCCTTCTCTGAGTTTCCCAGCCTTGGTGCATGCCCTCAGGAGGTTTGCAAGCTGTAGTAAGATGTTCATGATGGCACAACCAGGCCAAAACACTGGGGAGGCTCTGGAACAATCACGTCATTCCGTTAATAGCACAGAGAGAAAGATAAAAAGGGCTGAAAAATGCCAGAGAGTTTGGAGCATCCCTAGGACCAGAGGGGAACTTCTGTGCTGGAGTCTGATCTGGGAACCAGCTTGGAGCTCACTCCTGCTTTGCAAGCACACACCTCTCAAAAGACATCCTGGAAGCATCTGGACTCAATTTTCACATGGCTGGTGACATTTCTTCTCTGCACTGCCTGGAGAAAGCTGCTTGGATGATTATTCATCCCCGCAATTCAGTAACTGCACCAGTCTGGAGCGGTCTAATCTCCTGGGGCTGTAGTTACTGCCTGGTTTGCTCAGCAGCAGAACTGCCCTGCACTGAACAGCCAATTGCCTGTGAAGTGATCACTCCCTCCCATCAATGGAAAACTTTGAGTTCTGGGAATCTCCCCAGGCCTCAGATTTTCAAGTCTTCTTTGTTATTATTGTTTTCTTCAGGTCTGTATGGCATCTGGAAATTCTCCTTGCTCACAGTTCACCCATTCTCCTTGCTGGGTCATTTGCCATTTAAAAAATCTAGCTGCCAATTAAGGTTCTATTGGGTTCAAGGCTCCTCATTGCTCTCATTGCCCAGTGTGTGCAAGATGCAGTGAGTTGCGTTTACTTTGTTATCTGTAAGATCCATACCCAAACTTAGAATCATAGAATCCTCATAGAATCACCGAGGTTGGAAAAGAACTCTGAGATCATCTAGTCCAGTTATCCACTTACCACCAATACTGCCCTCTAAACCATGACCCTCAGTGCCCCACGTTTCCTGAACGCCTCCAGAGACAGTGACTCCACCACGTTCCTGGGCAGCCTGTGCCAATTCATCACCACTCCTGAAAATATTAATTTCCCTAATAACTGACCTGAAACTCCCTCCACAACTTGAGACCATTACCTCACATCTGATCCTATTGCTCTTCCCACAAGTGCAAGATCAGGATAAACTCAAAATCAAAACTCATTTGGGTGGAAGATCAGTGATGCCTGTAAAGCTTAAATTCTTCTTCCTTCTTCATTTTATTAAGGAAACAGAGGCAACCCACTATTGGAATTTGCAAAGGGAGAAGCAGCCAAGCACGAACGCAAACTGGAGAGCTGAAAAGCAATTGCAGACAAGCTGGCTTATGACTTCCGGTGCATTTCAGAAGAAAAGAGCCTCTTCTTTCATTTGGCTGCAGTGAGAACTGGGTGGAATATTCCTTAGAATAAGCTAGACAGAACTGGCTTGCAAGTCTCTGCTTTCAGGTTATCCATCCAGACCGAGTGTCAGAAATGCAAATCCCCCGAGGGTGGAGCTGCGGGGTCCTGCCAGTGGCTTGCTTTTTCCAGACACTGGTAGAGACCTCATTTTGATAATTGGGAAGGATCAGGTAAAGTGCCTGCCATTGCTGATGCAAGAAAAGATGAGTAACTGCGTATGCTGTATCTTTGTGTCCCCATTTTGGCAAATGGATCACTGAGATAGGCAAGCCCAGGAGTCAGAGGATCAGCTGGGTTGAGCTGCAGTCCATTCCCAGCCCCACAAAAAGCATAGCTTGAGAGCTAGTTTAAGGTTGCTCAGAGGATCAGCATCTTTTGTAGTGTGACCATGCATTTGCAATGGTACAGCTTTAATGTTAAGCACGATCTTACAAGAGTATTTAGCTTCCCTTAGAGTGTGTCCAGGAGGGGCACTGAAGCTGTGAAAGGTCTGAAGCACAAGTCTGGTGGGGAGCAGCTGAGGGAATGGGGATAGTTCAGTCTGGAGAAGAGTTTCAGGGGAGATCTTATGACAACTGCCTGAAAGGAGGCTGTGGTGAGGTGGTGCCTCTTCTCCCTGGTAACAGTGATAGGACAAGCAGGAAGGGCCTCAAGTTGCACCAGGGGAGTTTCATGTTGGGTATTAGGAAACATTTATTCTTGGAGGATAGAAGTGCACTGGGACAGGCTGTCCAGGGATGTGGTGGAGTCCCTGGAATTGTTCAGGAAAAGAGTGGATGTGGCATTGAGTGACATGGTTAGTGGGCATGGTGGTGATGGGTTGATACTGGGCTGGATGATCTTAGAGGTCTTTTGCAACCTTAATGATTCTACGATTCTATTTTATCATTCCCTGAGGTTACTTGGAGCTGTGGCTTCCCACATCCCCTTTTTTTTTTTTTTTTTTTTTTTTTCTCTTTTTGGCTTGGAAGAGAGATTATATGGTCATTTGGAGATAAGTTAATGTAGTCAGAATTCGGCCACCTGCAGTCAGCACCCACAAGCCTGTCTGCCAAGCTATCTTTATGAGAAGACCTGTTTTGCAAATTTTGGCTCATATTTCTGCAAGAGCAGGGGTACCCCACCTGATTCATTGTGCCTAATGAGACATGTCCAGCTGGAGAGCAGTACAGCAGCAGGACAAACAGATGCATCTTTCAGCATTACAGTGGCTCAGACAAGGCCCTCAGGGGTCTCCTCTCCTTGCTAACACACACTGCTCTGACTTCAGAGGGCAATAACACTGCTTTCCCTCCCAGCTTCTCTAATGTAACCCTGAGTTGCCAGCTGGAGCCACCTCATAGTGTCCAGACCCAAAGTCAGCCTTGGGTTCTGGGGGTCCGAAGTGGTCTCAGAGGGGCTTTCAGGTCGTGTATCCATGTGAAGTGGGGTGAGTGGGTAAGCACTAAATCCAGTTTGGTGCGTAAAATTAACAATAAAAGCTTTGTGTACCGACCAAGAAATAGTTTCTCAATGTTAGAATAGAACAAGATACCTATTAGTAGAAATAACACTCATAAAACTGCTTGTCTGAACAAAAACTGTGTTTCCTTTCAGTAACACCAGAACTTAAAAAAGAAAAATGACTAAAACACTCAGTCATCCTGGTGCTAACCCCCACCAAGTGCATCCCTGCTGTCTTTGTGGCTCACTGTTTACCAGGCTGTTATTGCAGAGCTTTTAGAAGCACTGAAAGATTTGTGTGTAGATTCATTGGTTGTCTAAGAAATCGTGTTAACTTAGTACGGGTCTGCTGAAATTTCCTGCTTGGCTGTAAAACACTCAAGTGATCATTGTTGTGGGCTCTGATGTGAAGTTCTTGCGCAAAGGCTGCCTTGGGGGTGAGATAAGTTCAATAGATTTACTGATTTTAGTTTGTCTGCTATTTTGATTTGAACTGCTTGGAGATGGCTTCTCGGAGGAAGTAGTGCTGGGCTGTGATGGTCCTCAGCCCCAAAGGGAGACCTGTTTCGCTTTTGTCTAACACCTGCCTCAGTGACCAAGCGTGCTGCTGAGCAAGGGGTGAGGTGCCACACATCATCTTTGTCACCACATCACCTACAGATAAACAGAATCATAGAATCATGGCAGCTGGAAAAGACCACTAAGATCCTCTGGTCCAACCATCAGCCCATCACTGCCTGAACCCTGGCTCACCACACTATCAAGGTTGAATTCAGCTCAGTAGATGGATGGCTCTCCATAGATGAACCACACTGTGTTTCTGCTGGTCACCCAGAAGCCAGTTAATCACAACAAGCAGAAAAAATGCAGAAGCAGCACCTGCCAGGTGTCCAGGGGAGCATTGTGTGAAAGGTGGATAGCCATAAATCCTGAGTGGGACTGGAGAGGGCTTTTATATTTCTTCCTATAAAACTGCTTGTCTCTGTAGTACTGGAGTGTCACTGCACTGCGTGTCACTGAGGAATTACACTCCTGCTGGTAATGCAAAAGTTTTGTTCTGCCAGCGACCATAAAGATGGAAGACAAGCACAGCATTCCATGAGCTCCCTACTGCTGGATGTTAAGGGCTGGGAACAAAACGGGGGCCCAGGGGGATTGCTGTAAACATTGGCCTCTAGTTTGTTCAGATTGACCCCAGCAAGTATCACTGGAAGGTACCTTGTAGATCAGTTGTCTTCAGCTCAACAGTAGGGCTTTCTTGCAACCATATGGTAAATGAGGCTATACCCTTTGCTGCAGGATGTCTTGGGAAATGGCAAATACCTTACTGGATGTGAACAGCTGCTGCTGCCTTGGCCCAAACTGCACATGTGGTAGAACTTTCAGGCCTGAGATATTTTTGCCGTGTGGACATCTGCCTTGTCCCTTCACATCTGTATATCCTGAATCTGGTGAGGGCTGGAACAAACAGGTATTACGATAAGACTGCAATGTTGCTAAAAGCTCCTTTGATTTGTGAGAACCATGACTTTTCCCAGGAGAACAGTGCCGGCTAGGGACAAGGCACAGAGATTTGGTGGCATCTCCATCCCTGGGGTCATCAGCATCTTCATGGATGAGGTCTTGTGCAACTTGAACTGTCTGTGAGTAGGAGACACAGAAAGATCTCTTCGCATTGGAATATGCCCAGGATTGATCCATTAAATGTCATGGAAATGTCATATCATGTCATTAACTGCCATGAAAATGATTAATTACTATGGTTTTAAGAAGACCCCCACATTAGAAATAAGTTATGAAGGCATTTATAGATATATCCTGAAGGTTTCACTTTCTTATGTTCTTTTGAGCAGATTTCTCATGGGCTGTGAAGTTGGACCCTTCCCTCCTCCATAACTTTCTTTAAAGATAAAAGACCACAGAGCAGGGAGACCTGTGACTTATGCATGGGCCGGAGGGACTTGCCTGCATCCATGTTCCCGGAGCCAAAGCACTTAACTGCTCCTTGGTGACCACCCGGACTTAACTGCACCAAAAGGATGTGCCAGCTGCAATTATTTTCCAACAAAGACAATCTTTTCCTTTTTGTAAATGTCAGTAATAAGTCCTTAAGAACAGCTAACAGCCTGGCACATCACTGCTCCAAAGGGGAGGACAAGGACAGGCTGGGAGCATCCCCAGCTGCAGCAGGGTAGAACTTTTGCTGGCCAGAGCAGTTGGTTTGAAGCTTTCTTCCATCAAAAAGCAACAGGAGTATAAATAAGTTTTATTGCAGTAGTTTAAAGCCAGCCAAGTTGGCCCAGCAAGAGCAGAAACAAGAGAATAATTTGGGCACTTTGAAACCCACCCCAGTGCTGCTAACTTTATGGCAAAGCTGTGTGTGTTGCCGAGAGTTGGGTCTTCCACACAGCCTCCTCTTACTGCTCACAAATGTCCTTCCCAAGCTTAAGGTTACTAACCCCAAGCTCACCACTCAACTTGGTGTGGGATGGTTGTGCTGGAAGCAGCCTCACATTGAGAGAGAACGGAAAAGAGTAATACCCTGTTGCAGAGCATGAGGTAGGCAATACATAGCAATAGGAAGCCCTGTGGTACGTGTCTGAAAGAAAGCACCATGCTTCCTTCCACTGCTCTGAGCATGGGACGTGCCACCAAGCAACCACCTCTTAAATGAAAGCTCGAGGAGGGGAAGTGATGGAAGAAATGCAACTGCTGCTGGGAAGCAATGTGCTCTGCCTGCCTGCCCCCTGAGGCATCCAACCAGTACTGATGTCTGGTGCTCGGTTATCAACAGAGCCTCACTTTCTGGTTAAGCAGACCACAAAGTATGCTGGAACCCAAACCCGAGGACCCTCTTCTGCATCTGAGCAATCTCAAATAGAGCTCACTCAGCCTGTCACCAGGCTCGACACAGCTATGGCATGGTGAACAGACTTAGGAAACCAGACCCTCCCAGGGCCACTCAAGTCAAACACCTCAGCCAAGAGCAACGTGACTGCCTTGCTTAACTACATCTGTTATGAGGTGGCACAGGATACCCCTAAGGTTACAGTGGTGGGGAGCTTCAGAGCAAAGGCTGTTTGACACCTGCCACCAAGTGCTCTATAAATACAGTAAACCCAGTGCCTGCAACACCCGAGCAACCAGAGCAAAACCTAGAGGTCTCTTGGCCTTTCTCAGGTCTCCTCTCTTCTGAAATGTCTGCAGGCTCAGCTTGGACTTCCTTGTCTCTCAAAATGAAACTGCCACATGGGATTTTCAGCCACAATACTGTTACAGGAAATGCCTGACTGTGGTCACTTCACTCATAAACTTGTGTTCAAATATGGAAGTAGTACTGGCCTGAATTGCTTGTAGACATGCTGAGGCAGACCAAAATACTTTTCAGAGCTGTGTTGTTTCCCTGAAACCAGAAAAGCAACCAGATGGCCTTTTTTTTTAAAAAAAAAGAGTGTTTTGTGCTTGATTAACAGAACAGTAGTTAAAAAAAAAAATAATGAAGCACTTCCAATGGTGCTTAGCTATGGAGGTGATGATTTGGGAAGGGAGTGGCAGATGTTTGAGAAAGCAAAGTCCTTTGCCATCACCCTGTTTCTTCTTGGTTTAATTGCTGCCAGGCATGTGATTGCTTTGTGCTTTCTGCCCTCCCTCAGCTTTCCTTTTTAACCATACAGGTAAATGGCTAAGACCACCCAGAGGCAGCAGCCATTGCTTAAAATTCAGCATGTCACTGAACCTAGTGAAAGATGGGTGAAACTTAGGCCTTGCTGGTATTTCCACAAGAATTGCTCCTCTCCTGCAGAAGGGAAGTTTCCTGTGGATTTCTGACTCCCCTGCAGCAGGAAGCAGCTTTAAAGCCATCTCACCTCATCAAGATGCTTGTTTTTTTGTGATGCAGAGATCCCAGGCTAGGTAGGGGGGAGGACTGTGCTCTAACAGAGGCAAACCTGAAATAAATGCAGAAAAACCTGAAAAACCACTGCCCAGACAAGGGCCTCGCTTCTCTCCTTCTTCCCCTGCACTGCAGAGACTCTGGAAACATTTATCCTGGCAGAAGAACTGTGAGAATAGGCTACTCTTCCCTGCTTTCAGCAGCAGAATCCAATGCAGGTGCGTGCTCCTGCCAGTGCTACTTGCAGGAAGCTCACCTCCTGAGTCCAAGCCACCTCCCCACCCTCACGGGTATTTAAATAGGATAGGAAGGTACACAACCAGCATCGTTCCACCTTTATTTTAACAATCACATAAAAACAGAGCCGTGGTATTAAAAGACTTATTACATTGCAATTATAAAGTGCATTTTCCACTAGAAGGCTGTGTACAAAAACCTTTTTAAAAACAAACATGCAAAAGAACCCACAAGGCACTTCCAGGCATAGAGTGAGGAGAGCAACCCCTTACTTCTATGTTCACATTGACAATGGAAAAAGAGAAAAGGCCACAAGTAGTATTTTTAAACTACTATTGGTCAAATAGTTCCCAGCCTAGCTTTAACTTACAGTATAGCTGTTCTAGTTTATGTTCCATGCTCTTCCCTTATGCACACCGCTTCCACAGCCTGAAAAAACAGGCCCCATAAGGAGATCCACCATCCACAGCACCCCAGACACATGCCTTGTTTCGGCCCATGAGCAGCCCTCCCCAGCATTGGAGCATGCCAGGAGAGCACAGCTTCTCTACAGTGTCTTACAGCACTGACACCATTCACTAAATCCAAACAACAACAACAAAAAAGAAATCAGTGTCACTCAAATTTCAGTTTAAAAATGGGTTCAAGCCAAGCTGGGCAACAGTCCCTTCACAAGAGACCATAGCAGATAAGGGCTGACTCAGGAAGCTGTTTGAACCAAAGCTAATGAGCTTTGAGCTAGCAAGTAGATTTATCACCTGGAATTAGAAATCAGACAGAGTGACAACAAGCATCAATGTCAGGTTTAGAAAAAAGCAGCAGCTGAAGGCTATTCTTCTCACAAGCTCTTTCTTCCTTTTCAGCATTCAACAGTGATTATAGTATCCCTTCTAAGTTCGGGTAAAACAGCTTCAGTACTCTATACAGCAGTCTCCAGATCTAAAAGCTAGATTTAAAAGCTTATCAAGTAGTCTAGCCCACTGCATCTCTCCAGCCAATCTAAATGCTACATAGGCACCCACAAATTTATAAAGCTTATGCACTAGGAAGATTCCCTTGACCTCTACTCCTACAGAATATTCAGAACCCTCCCTTTGACTGAGGGATTACATTTTCTGCTCAGCTACCATGCAAGCAGCTTTGCAAGGCTGTTTGGCACTGAACAAGCTGGCTACCTCATCTCAGTGCAGCTATCTCATTTCAAAAGAGATGGCTCACATTGGTGATTTGTTCCACATCTGGAGGTGGCAGAGTAATCCCAAGTATCACATTCCTCTGCATTGGTGGGGTGAGCCACTTCTTAAGGCAAGAGCAAAACAAAGCTTAGACATTTCCAGGTTGAAGTGGCAGCAACTGCTACAGCAGCGAGGGAAGCACAGCATATTGATGTTCTTCAGTACAGCCACGACATCCTTGCACATGAGCAGTGCCACTCCATCTGCTGCCAAGCAGTTCAAGGCATGGAGTAATAAACCACTACACTTTTTTTTTTTTTTTAATTAAAAAAGCAACATCAATTCCAAAGCCTGTTTATCTCAAACCACTGATGGTGCACGTGATCCCAGCACTTTATCAGCCAAGGCACTTCCATCACAGTAGGTGCATGACAGCCACCTTCTCTCAGCATGACACTGCCATGTGCTTAGCTCCCACAACACCTGAGAAAAGCTGCTTGCATGGGCATCGTGCCAAAGCCCAGCAAGTCCAGCAGCTGATTCAAGTGTCCATCAAGGGACAAAAGCATCACTGGTCACTTGCAATTAAAAGAGAGGAAGGTTTTAAAGAAGGCAGTCAAGGCTGTCAGCCTACAGATGCTTTACAAGCACCATGCAGCTACAGCTAACCTCTATTTTTGGTAACACCAACCAAGCATATGATGAAAGCTTTTCAAGATCAGCTGATAAAACAACTGGTGACTAAGCATATCAGATTTTCCCCCACAGGCACATATGTCCCCTAATACAGCAGGCTGTGGGGTTACATCTTATCACAGTTGTATTCTCACTTCCAAAATATCTTTCCTGCCTCAAGCAGAAAGGGCTTCACACAAGGAAGTGCACAAGAAGATGGCTGCTCCCCATAAGCCAATCACTTCAACATTTCCTGACAGGCACAGGCCAACCCTTCAGGAGAGCCCTGCTGCTGATGTTGAAGTACTGCACACTTAAAAATACTAGAACATATTTTGGAAAAAAAAAAAAAAAAAAAAGAAAACCAACACCAAAATCCTTTAACACTAGCAAGCAACACAAACCAGCCACCACTACATAGCTTCAGCAGACAACCCAAGCACTGTAGTGTTTCCCTGGAGACTAGCAGCTTTACAGAAGAGGAAGGACTAGCAGCACTGAACAGGCAGGCAAGCAACATCTCCTTTTCTTTTGATCATCGGGAGAGCCAGCTATCTGACTTGAGACAGGGAAGGCAGCCCTTTATGGAGATGCATCCCTGATTATAAGCCAACTGCCAGCAGAGTACTGCACTTCTTTTTTTGATGGGAGGCTTACGCAGAGCTACATGGAGCCTCACTTCTTCCACCTTTCCACACACCTCATGTTCAGGAGGGCTACCACACCTGCAGACACCACCAACAGTCAGTCAGAACATTAGGTCCTTAGGTCAGTAGTAGGGCCCCAGCTTTTCGTATCCTGAATAGCTTGGCCACTCAGCAAACAGGCCATAGGCACACCGAGGACTCCCAAACTGGTCAAAGGCACTGCTGAAGTCAGGGCTGCACGGGGGGCGGAGGGCTTCCTGGGCAGACTTCAGTTCTGAGCGTATGATTCTGTAATTTGTGCCCCTGTTGCTGTCCCAGTACACCTTGCCATTGCACTCAAAGGAGATGGCAAACTCAACTCTTTCATGGGATTGAATTCCATCTGGCAAGCTGATGTCAAAAGAAAACGTGTCCCGATCTGATCCTCCGTACGTATCCTTGACATACTGGCACGGGTAATCTACAAAGTTTTTCCAGGTGTCAAATGTCATCCTGATCTTTACAGACTTTTCAAAAGCCAGATTCCTCACTTTCACTGTGCCCACAACAGACCGCTCCTTTAACATACAGTTTTCAAGGCACACGCAGTCTGTCTGAAGACGGTTTCTGAAGTCCAGGTAGTCTGCAGAGGGCTGAACGAAGTCCAGGACAAAGCTGTCCCTCTCTACTGTCGTCAGACTCACAATGTTGTCAATCAGTTCAGTGATGTTGAAAGGAATATCTAGAGGATCATCAAACTCTGAGAACACCTTCACCATTGTCAGAGCAAAGCCTCTGCTGTCCGCAAATGACACCTTCTTCTTCACCTTGTTGTGTGTGAAGGAGTTTTCTGCCTCTTCTGGTCCAGTCAGTACCGTCTTGCTGTTCAGCTGGATGCACGGCCGCAATGGCTTGTTTGGCTTTGGGGCAATTTTGCAGGCACACCTCTCTCCTCGCAAGGGTGAGGAGCACAGGTACAGCTGCATTGCTACATCCACAGCCATTGCTTGTTTGTGAGGAAAACAGTCTATTGCACTGAAAGATCAAAAGAAGGGGCAGTTTATGTCAGAGAAGCATTTCAATGACTTGTCAGATAGTTGCTACACTTCTCCCCATCCATCCTAAACAAGCTTAGCTTCCATCACTCCCCAAGTCCCTCAAGCTCTGTAAGAGGCCAGTACTTGCATGACTTACAGATGTGTTGGGAAGTACGCCACCACAGTGCTGTGGCTCAACTATAGCCTGTTGCATCTCTTGAAGGGCAAGCTGACTTCCCATTGTTTGCTACAGAGAGTCACCCTGTTAAGGTACATGCAGGCACTGCCCTTCTAAGCTTGCAATAGCAGGCTCTGGAACACTTCTGACCTAACCAAAAATCCATGGCTTGGTCCTGCTGATGCTCATCTTGCTCTGCACCTATAGAAGAACAACTTCCTTCCCTCTATGGTATTTTAAAAACAGATATCAGGCAGGCCAGAAGGTTTTTACCTCCATTGCAGAGTGCACATCTTAACCCACTTAGAGAAATATCAGCATAGCTAGCACAGGCAAGCTGTGTGATGTACTCAAGGCTGACAGAGGCTTTGGAAACAAGTCCTTCCCCCAGAGGAGCAGACTGTGTCTCTCCACCACAGCATCTCCTCCTCTAGCATCCAGCCCCCAGTGATACAGCACCATCCCTCCACGTATCCACATCTTGAAGTCAGACTACTTCCTTAATTAAATTCTCTGTTTGGCTGCAGACCATGTTCCAAAGCTGGTCTCACTGTGAGAGCTGCAGCAGCTGACCGCACAACGCACAAGAGCTCGTGCTGCCAAAGCCACACACAGCCAGCTATAGTACTTGATAGCTGTCCCCGTGCCAAGACAAAGCAACAGAGCTACTCTCTCCAAGTCTGTGCTTTACTTTCCCACCCTGCAACACCAACAGGGCAGCTCCGAGCAGCCCTCCATAGCATCCCTTCAGCAGTAACACTTGATTAATTCACCATGCACAGACAAAGGCTTGCTTCCCAACACACCCACCAGCTACCTCCTGTTTCTTTCCTGAGCCTTCTTTGAAGCTCAAGGGCACCTGCACAAGGACAGACAGCGGATCCACCTGTCTGCCAACACCAAGCTGTTTAGCTCTTCCTGGTTTCACCGACTTTCTCACATACTTTATACAGGTCATTTCCTCCTTTAAAACAACACAGCTTCCCACCAAGGCCAGCTTAACGTGCATCCCTTCCCAGCAGCAGCCATCCACCTGAACTCCCACTGAGCACTCAGGTTCTTCTGTAAGCCTCAGTAACTCCCAGTGTTTGACATTAAGAGGCAAGAAGCATCCTGCCCGGTTTGCATGACTTGAAGCACCTTCCAACTTGAGGAAGAGCTTCACCTTCCTATAATAGGATTCAGCACTTGCATTCATAAGTTTCAGCTCATTTCACACCCAGATCTCTCCTTTCTGCTCTCAAAGCCTGCTGGCCCTCGAGCCACAACCACAGCAGCCTCCCCCATCAGGGCTGCTGCCTTGAGCTCCCCACTTCGGAGACAGGAGCACAAAGGCAGCACCGAGAGCTGCAGCAGGAAAGGGAGCAAGCAGGGCAGACCGTTTCAGAAGGGGAAGGCTGGGTTCCACCCAGCACCCCCCTGCACTCACTCTTCCTTCCCTTACTTTAGGAATGGAAAGCAGCTCAGAGCAGAGCAATCGCTCCTGGGAGCTGAGCCCAGCCCTGCATCAGGCAGCCCCCGCTCACCCCACGCCAAGAATCTGGCTGCCGGCCCCTCTGCCACTCCGACCCCACAAGCTGCCCCTGTGACACAGCCCAAACGCCCGCCACCCCTTTGGGATACCTCCCGTGACATCTTCCCTGCGCGAAGCCCCTGGAGCACCGTGCCGGCCCCCAGGCAGCCCATACCTGACGCAGCGCATCGGCCCGCTCACACCCCGCCTACCCCGAACCACCACCACCGACGGGGCGGCCTCGCTCCGGACCCTTAAGGGCGCCGCCCGCCCCGCCCTCCCTTCCTGCCGGCCAATAAGCACGCTGGTAGAGCGGCGGGCAGCCAATGGGTAGCGCGGGGCCTTCGGCCTCAGCGGCGACGGGGCTGAATGGCAGTGTCGCCCGCGGCTGCGGGGCTGCGCTCGCTGGGCAGGGCTGAGGGGCTGCTGTGCGGGGCGATCGTCGAGGGGTTTCGAAAAGCCCGTTGGCTCCCAGGGATCTCCTGGGAGAGCTTACTGTGCCTGAGCAGGCGTTGTGATCCTCTCAGGTGTGAAGCTGGTGCGATCCCGGGGGGCTTTGCCGCCAACAAGCAGACAGAGGTGACAGGAATGTCCTGAGTCCTTCTCAGGGGACTGAGCTCCTCAACAGGGTGTTCGGTGTGCACAGAGGGGTGGGGTGGGATGAGGGTAACTCACACATTCCATCCCATGACTGCAGCTCTGGGGCAGAAATCCCAGGAGACGTTCCCAAATCCCATTTCCTGACAAGATTTAGAGCATGGAGTGGAAAAACTGAGCTTCTCACAGACACGAGAAAGTTGTCTCTGTGTAAGAGGCAATGACTGAGACAATGTTAGGAACAACCACCTGTGGGACCCAAGCGGCCCAGAAGGCCGTCCCAAGGCAGCGGGCAGACACAGGAAAGTGTTTCCAGCGCTGGAGTTGGGCAGCTCAACACTCCAGCAGCAACACCTCCTCCTCCCTCCTGTGAGCTGGGAATGGCGACAAGGCTGGGAGTAACAGCCTCTTGTTGGCCACATCTGGCTTCCGAGCGCACCAATGCGAGCAGTGCTGCTCTCCCACCTCCCTCGCGGAGCATAAAGGCGGTACTGAAGTGCCGACATTTGTTTTTAATTACCCGGTGGAAGCACGCATGGCTATTGTTAAACCCAGAGACTTCCTGCTGTAAAGCTGCCGCTTAATCGACTAGCTGTTCTGCAATGCAAAGCAATGCAAAAGGGTTGTGTGGAGGGGAAAGACCATTGTTTTAGCCTCTTGGTTCCTGCTTTTAGATAAAGGCAATGATAAGATCTAAGGAAGCTGGGGAGAGAAATCTACTGCAGGACCCTTGGAAATGTAGATTAGTGTTTTACCTGCCAGTGGCACTGTGGAATTTCAGCAGAGCTGATTAGTGACAAGGTCTGTGGCAGGGATGCAGCAAGGATTTACCCAAGACCAATGGACAGAGACCCCAGAAGGCCCATGGGTCTGCACAGCCATCTCCAGGCAGGGCTACCGTGGCCTGGCTCAGCACAGTGGCTCTGGGTGCGTTTCTGCCGCGTGATAGAAGCTCTGTTTGCCTTGAGCAGGGCAAATTGCTTCACAGCTGCTGCCTGCTGTTTGCCTCTGAAGCAAAGGTAGGTGGAAGCCAGGGCAGGGCATTGTGGCAGGCTGTGGACACAGGCTCTTATCTTTTGGGAGCAGAGATAATAACTATATTTAGCTTTGCACTGAGCCCTTGCACAGTGGTCTTACTGATTTCCCCATAGCTTTCCACCCCTCCTGGCTTTTGGGGGACAAGGAAGAGCAATCTTCCCCTTCCCTGCTTGCTGCATAATGTGGGGAAGAAGCTTCTCCCTGGGGAGAACATGCCCCATCCCTGATGGATGCCTCTGCGAGAAGGTTCCCTGTGTCCCCAAAGATCTCATGGTCTTTGTTCAAAGTGCAGGGCTCAGTAAGGACTCCTGGTCCTGCCACCCCTCGAGTTCCCACAGGGCTAGTTGGAGCGTTTCCTCCTTGCTGTCAGGAGCTCAGATCCCAACTGCCAGACAGGACAAGGGAAGTGGGACTGGGGCATTGTGCAACGTGCCCACACTGCAGTGGGCTGTGGGGCCAAGGCTCAAGGGCGAGTATTGTAAACCTGTGGGGTGGCTGACGTAACACCATTCCCTGAGGACCCACTGCCACAGGACACCCCCTCCACAGCTTTCTGCCCCCTCTCAAATCATCAGCAGTGATGTACAATGTCCATGGTGGTGCCTGGTGCTGTTGCAATGCTGGCAGTTGTCAGAAATTTCACAATTAGCAGTGCTGCCTGTGAGCCAGGTCCCAGTGCTTGCACCAAACAGAAGAGAGTTTTGTTCACGACAAGGCCAAGAGGGTAACTCTGAAGTAATTTTAATCTGGTGTTGCCTCATGTCAAAATACTGAGGGAGAAGCTAATTTTGGAATAATTTTTGTCACGATCAGGAGGAAAGCCTGGCTGACACAGAAGAGGTTATTTTGGGCTGCCCCAGGGTGAGGGGTAGCAGGCAGCTTGACTTTCTACCATCCAGAAAGGATGCATCCATTTGTCTATATGGCCATCAGCCCTCCCTCATCCCTTCTGGACATACAGAGGGGTACCAACCTCTCTGGGGGATGGAAAGCTCACAGACCCCCCTCTAGATTTCAACAGTGATTCAACAGAAACAAGCATGGAAGCAATGAACATCCTTTTTTTTCCATAGGTCTCCAACTCCTGCAGCTACCCCAGGAAATGAGGCAAAGAGCACATAATGTTTCGCAGTGTTTGAGGAAATCCCACTCTGGGTTCCAACTCCTGCTCCAAGGCAGAAGCCCTGCTGCCACTCCTGGCTCTGTCCCAGTGCAATGAGTTACTTCAGTACATTGGCTGCTGGCCCGTGATGGGATATTTACCTTGGCATGGCTCTTTCAGGATCTCATACGCACTCAGACAGTCAAACACCCCAAGGAACACGTACTCTACCCTGCAGAAGGCTGCAGCATGGGGCCAGGTACAAAACCTTTTTTGCAGGACAAAAAATACCAGGTAGCGTAAAACTGTTGGTTCCTAATAATAAAAATGTCCAACAGTGGGCAGTAAGAAAATCCATGCAAAAATGAAGGCTGTGGGGGAAGGAATGAATTGAAATAAGAAAGCTGCTACTCACAGGGAAAAAGGGGATGTGCTTGGACTTGGATCTGCCTTAAATGCACAAGTCATAGTAAAACAAAGTATATTTTAACTTCAGTGCCCTAGAAAGATTGCAAACCTGATTTGATCAGGGCAGATATTTTGGGCACTTATACACACTCAGGACTGGAGTCTCTTTGGGCATATCTTTGCATAGGAGGTTGTGATTTGCTTGAAAGTCACTTGTGTGCTCATGAAGGCTCAGATAGAAAAGATCAGGCTGAGGGCTCCTTGTAGTCATTGATGAAAAACGCAAACTCAGTTTTCTTTCAAGAATCCATAGGCTCTCTTTGCTACAGCAGAAAATGATCCCACTGTGAAGCGTTTTGTCTCATCATAAGATCAGTGTCAGTGAAAGATGGGATCTGTTGCTTTTTGGACTTGCCTGTCTCTATCCATTCATTGTAAAGGGAATCTAAAAACTAGGAGGAACTAAACGGCTGATGTGGTGTCTCAAGCAAGTATTGAAAGCAAAGTCAACAATCAGGCAAATGCTGTGTGGAGGATTTTGAGAAAGGTCAGGTGGAGCTGCTCCCATCATCAGCCTTTGCATTCTTTGAAAATATTTTTGCCTAGTCTTTTTATTTTGAGGTGTTAATTTAATCCCAGGGGGAAAAACCTGATATTCAAGGGTTAACTCAATTAATGAAAAGTTTGGAGTTTTCTTCTTGCAAAAACTGTTTGCAGCTAAGAAACTCAATGCAGCTAAGTAGGTCACTTGAGACCCCAAGTTTGGTGCATACAAATGCATTCCCTGTCTGCAGATGTCTTGGCCTTGTCTGCTGCCTGAGTGAGTATCCTGTAGAGATGGCTCTTTCCCTGCCCCATCCCACAAAGTCTAGCTGATCTCATTTGTGCCTAACAGAAGCCAGTGGTTCACAGCATCTTTGTACCAGATAAGTGCTTCTAAACTTGGGTTGGAGGAGGCAACATTTAGGAAATATGCCTGCAAACGAAGACACACCCATGTCAGGAATATCTCTGACAAGGTCTGGAGAATGCAGGCTGTTTATTCATGGGAAGCCAGGCAGGAGGAACTCGAGCTGTTGGGCAGTCTATTAAGCAGCATTTTGTTGCTGGCAGCTGGGAATAGCGCGTGTCCCAAGCCTGTGGAGCCTGCGAGCATTTTTGGCTCATCCATTCTTCGTCCCCTCCTCCTCTAGACTTTGCTTGTCCTCTACTCCCAGTCTGCTCAGATTCCAGCAGTACGGAATGGCATGCGGAAGAGGAGGGTGCTGGCAGACTCAAGCAGCAGCCACAGCAATCCTGCAGTGACTGAAAATCAATCCATAGAAAACACACCCCCTCACCACAGGTACAACAAAGTGCTTGGTGTAGATCATGGCTCAATGGATGCCACTGCTCCTGAACAAAAGTTGAAGAGTAGGACTGCTCAAGGGGGCGCAGATGCAGCAGACGGAGGAGAATGTCCTTGACCTTCTAAGATGAGAGATCAGCATATGATGATCTGAACCAAGTGGCACCAGCAAAGCTGGTAAGAAAGCAGCGATAGCGGAGTCTATGGGAAAATCAGTAAGTTGAAATAAATAAGATGGTTTTGAAAGTCATCACAATTAGGCTGAGAATTAGATTTGCTGACTTCTCGTCAAAGGAGAAGTGCAGTATGGCATAGTAGCTGAATATACTGGGTAACTGCTGGTTTTAGATGACTTTTTGAGGAAGGAAGTGAATGCAAAATTGCTTTTTCATTTCTTGTGCAAGACAACAGCAACATGGGCATCTTTGTGACTCACATATGTACACATCTGTACTCCTATGGACACTTTCCTGTGCACAGATGTGTGTGACAGTGTTAAGGATCTGTCTCTGTGGAATAGTGTTAGAATTCTGTGTTGTGCTCTCTGCTCGTTTAAGCTCAGAGAACAAATCATCATCTACTGTTAAGCTTTTCAGCTGCAGAGCAGGAGAAAACTGGTCCCACAGATTTTGAGCTTTTGTAGGTTTTCATCTTTTTTACCCCCACGGCTGCAGTGATAACTCAAGCAGTTTATCTGAAAGCCAAATGCAGTCAGTCTCTGTTGATAGGCCATCTTTCCT